GGACGGCTTGTGGCAGCGGAGTAGTTTAGGGGACAAATGAATGGGCGTGTGATAAATAAATAAAAGAAAACTAGCAGACTTGAGCAACGATGCTGGTCGCTGGAGCCTTAGCGTCTGGCAGATCGACCGAGACGAGGGAAAAAGGTCGGTGGGATCAGTAATGACTTTGCAACAGGAAAGATCTTGTGAGATGTAAATGATCATTCTTGGACCACTTGTCATTTGGGAGTTTTGAAACATTTTCTTATTTTTAACAGTGAGAATCTGAGGCTCTCAGGAGAAAAATGTGTTGGAATCTACCGAAATCTGTCACGCTAACGGTTTCTGTGAGGCGTGGGAAGCATCAATAGCCACTGAACACCACTTAAGGTGAATATCAAAGCCAGGTTTTGCCAACAGTTAGAAATCAACCTTCTGAACGCCACCATCCCTGGTAGCTGTGCCTCATTCTGTGCAGACACTTCCCATCACCCCCGCATGTCAGAAGATGGCTGGGGAACAGAGATGTCTTCTGAGGAAAATTCAGATTAAAAAAAAAAAGTTGTGTTTTCTCTAACAGTGTGTACATAAAATGTGTGTTCTCAGTGAAAAAAATACATTACAAATGAAAGCAAAGAACCCAGAAAGTCAATTCTTGGGATTGCTTACTTTTTTTTGCTTACTTTTTTGGTTTTCAGGTTTTTTGATTTCCAATGAAGAGTTTAATAAAACAAATGAGAAACGTTGACTCGTTCAGTGACAATTACTGATTGTCCATCAAATAAAAAAAGGTTTGGCACAATAGTTTCTCTTGATCATGGGAGACCTGAGCTAATCTTAGACATGGGTACAGTCCTGGACTTTCCTGAACCTAATGTCTCATAAAAAAAGCGTGTTTGCTTCCTGAAAGAGCCAGAAGCCCCTGCAGATCAGCACACCGCGTGTCTGCATGTAAAAATGCCTTGTACTGAAGGTTTAAATGATATTCATTAAACAGCTAATGAGAAGATACACCATGTTTTCTCTCAGTGAGCGCCAGACTTACCCGCATGTAGAATTCCCTGCCCTCGTTCCCTGATTTGATTTGGAAGATGTAATAGGCTCCAGGGTAGCGAGTTGTTGCTTGCATCTGAAAAATGTCAGAAGGCACAGACCGCCCGGACACCATATCCATCACTCTGTACAAGATGGTGAATGGCTGATCTCTGCAACCGGCGTTTTCAGCTGGACACATGCAGCGGCTAATTGTCAGAGATAGGATTGTCATCAGGGGTTACAAATTGCTGTAATATTTGATTCTTTATATGCAAATATAGCTGCATAAATAAATAAACAAATAATGTTGTCGACCAACTAAAAGAATCAAAAAAACTTGTAATGAATTTTCTCACTTTTAGTATTATCTGTGTTACTATTCTGGCCTACGTATATCCCTGCCTTCTTTTTCTTGTCTTCTAGGCCAAAATATCTCGGCATCCTTTGTCTCCTTAGATCACCCGAAAATCTATACTTTCTTTAAAGCAGCTCTGCAGGTGTAGAATACCCAGTGCGTGTTTATTCTGGTAGTAATTTAAACTGAACTGTCTTCAAAATAACGTTTATTGAATCATTTCACTGATGGTGCTATATAAATGTTGTATTCTTTGTTTAACAATCTTTTATATACTACATGAAAACACACAGTGAGACATTCTGGATCAAACCAAAGCTCTAGCATCAAATGCAGAGCCCTAAGGAAGAGCAGGATAGCGGGCCAAGTGTATGACACTTCCACCAACAGCCTCCAATTGTTTGTGACTCAGGAAATTCTTGAAACAAAGATGTCTTCTGTGTATTCATCAGCCCTTAATGCATTTTTTATCCATCAGCTTGTCCAGCTTCCCCTTACACACACATGAATGTTTGTCAGCCACAGCCCCCTGTGGCCAGGAGCTCCACAGCCCCCTTCACCTCTCTCTGCACTGCTCCTTGCTGACTTCGTCTGATGCTGCCAGCTCTTCTGTTGAAGGGAGAGTGGCCAGTCAATCCCTGCTCACCCTCCTCACGCAACTCAGGGTTTCATATTTGACCCTGTTATTGGCTAAAGAGTCCTAACTTAGTTGTTTCTCACAAGGAAGCTATTCCATACTTTTGAACATCCTCATTGCTCTTTATGAACCTTTGTCCAGTTATACTTCTTTTGAGAGGAAGGGAAGGAACTTCACAGTCTTGAAGATATGGGTACACAATGGCATGTGCTCTAAGGATATTCTCTACCTATTAACACCTCAAATTCAGATTGCTTTTCTGACCTCTAGTGAGTACTGCAGATCATGGAACTATCTGTAACAACCCTAAAATCTCAGTTTGGACGGATTATGATCAGATCAGTGTTCTTTATTTAATTTGTGAATTTGGGATTGTCTTTTTAGTTTACATTCATCTACACAAATTTCAACTACCATTTTTATTGCACAGCCATTGAGGCTCCTTCTGCAATTCTTTTCTGCCCACTCTTTTTCTCTACTGTCCTCAGATACTGTTGCAGACTTTGCCCATCTCACGGCTTATCCTTTTTCCCAGGTTGCTTACAAATATGTTGGACAAAGTAGGTCCAGCTCAGACCTCTGCAGAACTTCACTGTGAAAGTTGACAATTTAATACTATACTCTATTTATTTTTTATCTTTCAACCTCTTATTCTTCTGTGCCAGGGACTTCTCTCTTACTTATGGCTCCTTAATTTTCATAATAACATATGTGAGGTTCTTTCAGAAGCCTTTGGAAACCCAAACAGACAGCACCAGCCCATGTGCCCTAGCCCATGTGCCCTAGCCACATGCTGCTGATTTCTTCAGAGAACTCTAATAAAGTTGTGAGGCAGGATGTCCCTTTATAAAAGCCATGTTGGGGAATTTACTGGAAAAGAGTTGGGTCTTTTTGCCTATTTTTTCTATAACCTCCACTACTGACACCAATTTCAGACAGTTCATCTGGCATGTCCCCCATAAAAAGACTCCTGGCATTACAAACACCCAATTCCTTCCACAGAAAACACAGATGCAAGGAATTCACTTGGCTTTTATACTGACCACTTCTAGACATAAGCCACAAATTAAATGCAGTCACATCTAGACACGAGCCAAAGCCACCAAACACAAAGCTCAGAGATCGAGAGTTCTGGTGCAAGCTGATCTGCGAGGACTCTATAGATGGGCTCCAGGGAATTTAGATACAGAGGCTTCAGATATTTCAAATTCCATTTTAAGACTCTACACCTCTGAAGGTAGGTAAACCCAGAACTGGAAGAACAGAACATGTCAGCTGCCCTAGTTCAGAAAGCAATATAAAGACATGAATAAATTATAATGGAAAGAAGCTGATTCTATGATTCTTGCCTTTTTATAAAATACATTAGGCTACCAAGCAATCCCAAGTAATTGGGTTTAGTGCAAACACTGTGGATGAAATACTATGGCCTGCAATATATAGAGATCTGTCTGGAGCGGAAATATTTTGAGCCCCAGACAAATACCTACAAAAATGTAAAAGAAACAGGCAATTTTTAGAAATGCGGGATTTATTTTTTGCTTACTCAAATAATTCCAAATTTAGACAGTAACAGTGCTAACAGCCCCATCCAGACATACCCAATTTCTGGACAAGGCAAACCAGTCTGTAGACTTTTCAGCACTTTTGACCTTTAAGCAGTAGGAAACTACTTGTATCCTGCTATAAGTATCATTTAATGTTTTAAAGTACTTCCCAGACATAAGCTAGTTAATATTTACAGGAAATACTCATACTAATAAGCAGGCTGCATTTGAGCGTATATGAAGTCAGTTAGTAATGTAAGTAAATGTCTCTTTTACATTACAAACCTTGCTGTTTTCTCTACTCGCTGACAAGTGTTTTCCCAGTCTAACTTCCCACACATTTGAGTATCATATCATATCTCACCTGGTGACCTAGTAAGGAATTGCAATTTATTATTTTTATAAAGCTTACCAATGGTAAATGCAGCAACAGCATGTATGTATAGCTCTCTAGACACACTTCATGGCTGTGTAAAAATGCAGCTTATTTGGTTCACTCTAGATATGCTTCACACAGAATTCGCTTTTGTGGCTGTGGGTACGTTACTCACTTCTCATTAATCTGGATATAAGGATCCTCGCATCTTACTGGGTCTAAACATTTATATTCTCCTGGGATATTGAAACACGTTTGCTGTGGAGTGCAGGTGAAGTTTCTGTTTTCACATTCATTGATATCTAAAACACAAGAAATAAGAGAAAGGCTAAAGCAGGGAAATATGAGCAAGACACCACTCTTACAAACCGGTTTCCATCTTAAGGAATTGTCCCAAAATTCATAACAATCTTGCAGCACGAGAAGTGGCCTTTTGATAACTGGCTCCTCTTTTAAGATCAGTTTTCACTCCATTCATTTCTGCTTATTGGAGTGCTCCCATATGCTAAGTGCTGCAAAAATAGAAAAGAAATTGGCTGCTCAAGCTCTCTGACCTTAGAGAATGGAAAACTAGAGACGTGCAGCAGAGAGGAGAGCATCTGAGGGCTTTCCTGCGTAGCTGTTTCCTAGTCAGTAAAGTCTTACTTACACCAACACACCAATTCACCTCAGTGGGACTATTCACGTGATGACATTCTTACCAGAATTACATAATTGGCCCCTATGAGTATTTCACTGTGCAATGCCAAGACCAAGCATCTCAATTCTTGAAAACCTCTTTCCAGACACAGGACCTATTTTCTGGTCCCCTTGGGTTTTAATCAGCGCAGAAATGTTCTTACCTTGGCAGCTTCTGCTATCGTCAAGCAAGTTATAGCCCGAAGGACAGATACAGTAGTAAGAACCAGGCCCGTTCACACATTCGTGCTGGCAGAGGAACTCTGAGAAGCTGCATTCGTCCATATCTGCAGTGGTAAAACAAAGTTTAGTGTCTTTGGCTTTACAGTCAAAAGAGCAGTCCCACAGGCAGGTGGCCATCCAGACTACGTGCCCATCATCCCAGCTGGAGGTTGGCACCCTCCAGCTCCCTAGAGCTCTGCAGCAACGTGGTAAAATGCTATACAATAAGTTCTTGGTTAAACATTTTTCTCCTAGGGAAACCAAAGCTGCTGCTGAACACAATGCGTGGCTTTATTTATTTATTTTTTTTTTCGAATACCTGTCACCAGTTGGCCATGTTTTCAGTTCTGTTTTACGTCAGAGATAGAGCTACTCCAACAACAAAGCTGCAGCTGTAATTTGAAAGGAGGGACTTGGCAGTGTTTTTCTTTTCTTTTTTTTTCTTTTTTTTTTCTTTTTTCTGGAGAGCAAACTTCCCTTTCCCAGGGCCACATGGGTCCCAGCAGAACTCCTGCAGCCAGCCTCGGCTGTTTTATGTTTCTTAGCCTCTAGCCAGTTACTTCCAAGGCATTCCAGCAAGACTACAGAGCTTATCCCAACTTGGGTAAGACCTACTGGAAGGCCCAGCCATCTCCCAGATACCCAGGAAGCTAAGCAGTCTGTCAAATCTCTGATTGAAAGCAGAAATTGTGCTTGTTTCCCCTTGCCCTCGTGAATTGACCAGTCATTGTATTCTGCAGAAACTGTGCTCAAGCAAGAAAGACAAACTTCAGAGCTGCACATGGAGGCATGGCTGACTGAGGGGAAAACACATACAAAGGCGCTAGACTGAGGAAGGCTGCAGTTAATCATTTCCTTATTTCCCTGTTCAGGGGAAGAAAGAAACAAAGGCCAGAGCCCCAGCCAGGAACTCCCAAGTTCTTATTCCCAGCTCTGACATGTTGACTCTCCCAGGCAAATCACTTTTACTCTTCAGACTGAATTTCCCTTTCTTCTAAATCGGGCTCAGTCCATTTATTCACTTTTGGTGTTTTGTGCAGCTGGATTGGAAAGTATTTGAAGTCCAAATATGTTAAAGTGGCTTTATGGCTGCAACCACATTATCAAAAGGGAGATGAAAGGAACGCTACATCAACATAGTCCTCTTACTGTGTGACTTGCCCCAGCAAGTTCACTGGAAAAAACACCTTCCTGACAAAACATGGACCAAGGGCTGACTCCATAAAGGGACCGAGATATCACCCACCCCCTTGAGGTGTCCTAGCCCCGACCTCCAGCACATCGGATTCATATAACCTGCGCTCAGCTGCTTCAAGTGCTGGAGGGACTTAGAGCCCCAAGGGTCCTACATGTCTGCTGCTGAGCCCACACAGGACAGACACACCTTTGCTGTTCGTAAACAGTTCTGGCATTCTGCTGACTATTGGACAAGATGGTAGGCATTTCAGAGCACATCTAATGCACACGCAAGACCTCTGTGATTAGAAAATAATGCCAATGTTGGGAAAGACAGGTTGAAATCTCTGCCTCTCTCCTTGAATTGGGGCTGGGATGCCTCCCATCTTCAAGGTAAGATGGCTTCTAGGCCTTGGGCTAATCCAGCGGCTGTACGTCTGGATCCTAGGTGTCTCATAGGAGTGTCCTCCTAACCAGGCATTCACTTTGTGAGCCTCAGCAATGTCTAGTGATTGCTTGTGAAGTGAAAGAAGCTCATCCAGAGAAATTTGACCTGCTTTGATGAGCATTTTCTTGCACAGAATTGTCAAGAAAAGGTTTTCTGCTCTGAATCTGGGTGGTGGAAAGTCCCTTTTGCTGGCTTAACTCTCAGACATGAATGAGGCTCAAGCACCACCTCTTCTGTCACGATTTTATACTGGCAGTGTTTATGTAGCATTGCATTGAACTTAACTGGTTCAGGCCCCCCCAGGTAGCTCAGGAGCACATAAAAAGGTGCAGGAGTCTAACTTAGAAGCAGAAACTCCATTAGAAAGCAGAAAACTTAACTTAGGTGTTGCAGCTCTAAATGTTAAACGCGTAAGACCCTTTAGAGATGTAAGTCTTTGTTCTTTCCCTTATAATAAGGAGGTTTGCAGGGAAGAACAGCTTTGAAAACACTAATCTATACACATACTGCATATCACATGTCTTCTCTCTCAGAAACAGCATGTTACGTCTGTTTACTGTAAATTAAAAAACAAGTATTTTCCAGTGTGTTTTTCCTTCCAAGAAATATTGGCGGGATTCTCTAATTTTATCAGGCTGTGGGAACACTAAGCACAGAAATAAGTTTTGCCTTCAATTAAAATAAAGCAATAAAATAAAAACAAAAACAAGAGAGGAAAAAGTACAGTGACATAAGCACAGTTTCTTCTGCTATGTGCTGCACAGATTAGCAATAGCTGTACTAAGAAACCATACATTGTTTCTGAGGTGTAGCCAGACTCATACAGGGGAAACTGGGGAAAGTTTCAGGCAGAAGCATGCAGTCGTAAGAGCAAGAGGAATACATGCATTCAACAGACAAATGGAAAAGTGCTTTATATAAGGTATTTCTTTAATCATGGAATAATGTTCTAGGACTATCCCTACTTTACTTGCTCTATTAAAGCTTTCTGTTCAGCATTACAAAGCGTTTTCTTATGCTTTGCTGTTATCTTGGAGCTTTTTAATATTTAGCTTATTTCTTTAAAACCATTTGTAGCCGTCCTCCATTGTGCTTTTCTGAGTATTTGCTGTGTGCTTTAACTGGAAAGAAGATCATATGAGTTGCAGCTATGCTGCTGCTAACCGTGGACCAAGGTAAAAAACTTTTTAAAAAGCATGTACAAAACAGTACCTTGGAAAAAGAAAACTTAATAGAACTAAGGAAGCCAAAACAATAAATAGCTAAAGACAGTTACCACTGCAGTTAACTCCATCAGCTTCCAGTTCGTAGCCAGGTTCACAGCGGCAGAGAAAAGAGCCGTAGGTATTGACGCAGGTCTGAGTGCAAGGGTTTTCGCTTGTACATTCGTTCAGATCTATGGGAAACCAATGCCCAATGCATCATCAATGACTTCTCCCCAAACTCTATTTTCAATTCATTACTGTAAAGCATTTCAAAGAGATTAGCTGTACAGTCAGAATGATTTGTTCTGAAAAAATATAACCAAGTCAGTATTGTTTATTGGGATTCAGGCTGATGCCTGGAAATAGCATGTTTGAAACACAACATGCGTGGAAATGAAGCATTTTGGGAATGTATTCAATCAAAAAAATAACATGGAAGATGGGGATGAAATATTTATTACAAATGCTTCTGTCTTTATCCTGCAATTTTAAAACTACTGAACTGATTTTGTCATAACAGACCTGAAACAAAATGCAGCAGGATATTCCTGAGGAAGATAATGCAATGAGGAACGGTCCTCTTCGAAACCTAGGACTAAGACAAAACCAAATTTTTTTTTTCCTTTTAGGACATTAGCAGCTTCTGGACATCATTAGCACAGACCATTTCCTGCAGCGTGTGGGAAGATGCTCCCTGCTTAGCTAGGGAGAGGCTTTATGAAGAGATTGTGTTGACTTTGATTGAGGTAGCACATCACAGCAAAAGATGGTCTAATGCTCAGGACCCTAGTCTGGAACTTGGGAGACTCAGATCTAATTTACTGATCTGACAGAGTTTTCCTGTCTCGGGTGGGTCACACAGCCTCAGATTTTAAAAGTGAATTCAGTGCCTAAACTCTTGGTAATTTCTGTGAATTGAGTAACTGTATTTTAGGGGGCTTGGGCCTCTGTGCATATTTCTCCTGAAACACTGGTCATGTTGCACCTGTACCCTTCCGAGGTACTGTGAAACTACAGAAATATCTCAGGCTGACAAACCTGTGAACATTTTCAAAAGCAGTGTTGGGAAGGTTACTTGTATTCTGAAAACTAAGCAAGTTTTAAGAATGTTGCTGGGTTGGGACCAAAGATTTCGGTCATGGTTTACCATACACAGTACCTTGGCATGATCTTCCATCATCATTGAGGGTGAAGCCTGGGTTGCACGTGCAGGAGTAGGAACCGGGCACATTGGCACACAGCTGCTGGCAGTAGCCGTAGCGACATTCATCTATATCTACAGATGGGAAAGATGAGAAGTAGAGTGGTCTGCATTTTCACAGGCAGGTACAAAGCAGCAAACACACTGAGTCAACGGTGCCAATAACACGAAATAACGCAGCATACTGGTTACGGATATAACACCCAAACTTTCAGGTGTTCAGACCCAGAGTTATAGTTAAAATACATCTCTACCCAGAATAATGTAGTAATGTGTTTTTACCCACAGCTGACATCTATCAGTATGTCCTATGAACTGATTGTCATTGCTGTCATCTTCAGCTTAATGTGATGTCATCAGGAAGCCCAGAGTCAGTCCCATGAAGCAGCTACCTTGAAGCATACCTGACAGCTGGCACAGCCCGTCAGCACAAGCATGGCCAGCGTCGTAGCAAAGTTTTGTCAGAATCAAGATAGAAACCTTTTTTACCTTCACATATGACAAAGTTGCTCACTAGAAAAGCAGTAAGTATTGGTTACTAAATACTTTTTTTAGAGAGGATATTCCTTAAAGACTCTTTTTCAAATAGTCACATTCACATTTTATATGAATTTTTAACTGACAAGTTATAGACACTAAAATGTAAACAGTAAATTTAATACCAAAATAGCAGTTTGGGCTGAATTGCAGCACTAGCAATATATGTAACTGGCTGTTACAAGCACAAGAAAATGCTGTAAGATATGTATGATGGTAAGTGCTAGAAAAATTTTGCCCCTGGACTAAGAACTGGAATGAAACACCTGGAATAGCTGTCCTTTCCAAAGCTTTACATCTCCTTTGGTATCAACTGGCTTTTGATTTATGGAGATTTTTTTAATGGCTTCTCTCAAAGCTTTGAAGTTAAGTTTGTGCAGTAGAAACCCAAGTGTATTATCTCCAGTGAGTTCGCCAGAAGAACCAAAGCAGGAGGGCACAGATTTTGGTGAAATTACCCCCATGGTAGGTTCCAACGCACGTGAAAATCAAAATGACAGTATTCTCCCTATGGTTCACACATATACATATATATCTGCATGAATTCCAGCAGTTCATTATTTGTTAGCTAAATTGGCTGCTTCCTGTTTTAGTGTTAAATATTAAGAATGTGTTGGGAAACTGAATCCTTGAACAACTTGAACATTGACATGATGTGGTAATACCATAAAAACAAGAGTGTTGTGAATCTGTTGTATAAGTAGCTACATCCTGCAGTTCAAGTTATGTTGTTGGCCTCATTGGGGCAGTTTTGCCATAGAGAGTCTCAGGAAACCATTCTGAAAATGTCAAAAGTCTTGGAAATACTCTGTCTGTGTAAAACAACAAGGACACTGACATTCAGTTTTGCCCTCACTAGCTTTTTTTTCCCACTGCATTCTAAATAGCAAGATAACCTAAAGGCCAGGGTCAGCTATGGTATGTACACCAGCAGTAGGCTTGGCCCAAATCCTGCAAAAAGTGACATGGGTTTTAAGTAAATTAATACTCATTTGACTGACACAATGCATTACTTTAAATACATGCTTTGGCTTTTGCAGGACTGTTATCTCAAGAGTGCTACGTTTTGAGGATAAGGACTTTTACAGGGCTGCTTCTTCTGGGTGGGTCATGTGGATACTGCTGCACTGGCTCTTCCTGTATTAACTTTACTGGGATAATTACAACAGATAGAAGTGTAGCTTTTGTAACTGTGGGTTACTAACAGTGCACCAAAAAAGCCTGTCTCTAAAACCCAACCCAGCCCTCTGATTACAGTAAATGGTCTTTTACTGCTTCATGCCAGCAAAAATCACTTCTCCAAGGCCAGTGGAAAGTATGGAAAACTGAGACTTTTTGACACTTTTAGGGAAAAATATAACAGCTCTAAACACAATTTGCTTTTAGCTCTTTGCATTGCCTTGTAATAATCCACCCCAGGATTACTTAAAGTGGGCAACACTGGGATGTTATTGTCTATTTATATAGCATAAGCAGATACTCGAATCAATTCAGCAATGCAGCCATTTCAGTTCTCTGGTATACCCATCAAGCAGTAAAGTGCTTTAGATCCATGTCCAAATCCTGAATGCTGCACACAACCCTTTCGGGCTGTAACTGGGAGAAGTAAATGGCAAACAAAACAGGTGATGCAGAGCAGAATCCCCCTCCCTGCCCTCCCTCATCCCCACCCCATCACGTACGCCTGTACAAGCCCCGGCACAAGTTTTTTTCCCAAGAGAAGAGGAATTATCAGAGATTAAGGAGCAGGGGGCTTGGAGACTTCATATCCCAGGGGAACGACAAGACAGTGACTCCCCAAAGTGGCTATGGCTGCACAGACCCCAGCTTGGATGAGGCTCAGCTCCGTCCCTGCTAGGTGAGTTACCCAGCAGCTGTTTGCAGTAGTTAGGAAAGCTGCCATGAGTCAGTCCTTCACTGGAATTGGTACTTGGGAGGAGAAAGTTGGAAAATAACTGGAGAGGCTCCAGGGATGAATGGGCAGGGAAAGCCCATTCTCCTTCCAGCGGAGGTGTTGTGACAGGACGGTCCAGCTCCGCGGATCTGGCAGGCAAACAGCCTGCGCCAAGGGGAAAAAAATAATAATGAGCAAACTTAAAAAAAAGAAAAAAGTTGTCCTATCTCCTAGGTCCTATCTGTGTACCTAAAATTAACATCTACTTCATCATCCCATGGCATGTCAAGTGAGGGGAATGGGCTGGAGGAGAGGGGAGCTGGAAGGTTTTCCCATGCTATTTATCGAGGGACCTTTTTTTCAACAGGGCTGAGCTAAAAGGATGAACAGGACATTGCTGTAAGGAAAATAATAAAATCGAAATAAAACTGCTTGGAAGCTACTGAAATGGCACCCAGTTCAGAAGTCATTTTTTTCTCACCCCCAAGCAAAAGGGCTGGTTGAATCTAGGGATTTACTGGTCTGTTTCCTGGTATCAAATACTGATCCCTTTGGGTCCACAGGGTCACGGTGTGGAAAGGACAGGTCTGTTTGGGAATAAATCTTTTTGTATACATGCTTGTGATTGATCTTGTATGAAAGGGAATCCTTCAGACTGGGAATATGAAAATCCCACGTGTTACATGGATGCTAGTCATACGGCATTTACATCTACACTTTTGTTCCGTGAGGGAGTCTCTCTGCCAAGCATACCATTGGCACTTACAAAGATGAAAGACAGTTTCCACATAGCCGAAGGTTTAACCGTGTACTTGACAAAGATGCTCAGCGACATTATTTCAGCTGTTCACAGGTACACATAAACAGATGCTCAAACACCATATTGCATGAGGTTTTTACCTAAACACTGGCCTTCTAAGAGCCAGTAGCCTTCAGTGCAGGAACAGGTATAGCCCCCCTCAGTATTTATGCAGATCTGGGTGGGGTTACACTGGTGAGAATCTGAAGCGCATTCATCCACATCTGCAATACAGAAATACAGCAAGAAAATATTAGAAATGGCAACAACAAAAGATTGTTCACACTGTACAGGGGTTTGCACTCACAATGTGAACACCGGCTCCGTACAAGGAACCAAAGTGTGGTGGAGTGGAGAGGATGACCACAACCTGAAGTAAAATTCATAATAATAAATGTCTGGGGGCAGGGAGAACTGAGCGTGCTCATCAAATCTCCCCCTTTTGCAGATGACCCAGTGTTTCTCAGAGATCCTCAAGAAAGAGATCGCATTACCTCGAGCTTCTTATTATTTCCACATTTGCTGTGTCGCTGAACTGGGATTTCCATGCTGCAGGGCAGTGTTCAGTCCTAGGAAAAGGCTGCTGAAAGGGCTATATAACCCCACAGTGGAGCGAGGGATGAACAGGAGTTCGAGAGATGTACAAACACAACTCAGACATATAAAAAAAATTACTTCCTACCCCCACCAATGCAGATTATCTCACTGTAATTTTTCTGACAGAAGGTTCAACCAAAATCAACCTTTACCTGACAAAAAAAATGTATACTTCCCTGGAATCAATTTCCTGATGATAAAACTCTTTTCTTTTTAATTTTTTTTACCATCCTTATTGTTTTTAATGTATTTGGTTTTTTATTACAACCCCTTAGGGTGTTTTTGTGGTGGGCTTTTTTTTTTTTTCCCCCCCAAAGGAGGTGAATAGCATTCCTACATTTATGTAAGCCAGGACCCTGGAACCTAACTGATTAAAAATGCCTTTCAGAGTCAGAAGTTCAATTTGAATCCCTCCTGCTCAATCTCTTCCCTGATGTTTCTGGCGTCGGGTTTGCCTCTAGATGTCAGAAATGGAAATATCAAAAGATAAATTGTGTCATTTTTTCAGCCAACTCAGATTTCTATGTTTTATTTATTGATACCTAAACTATTTTTTATTCCAGCATACTGTGCACTGGCCTTTGCTGAAGTACTATGTCATCCAAGCAATGCTACTCCCGTGATCCCCCCCGATTCTTATTAACCCAGACTTGTTGGGTCATGACTGAAAGTATCTCACAAATGCACTGGGCTGGTGCAGGCAGCAGAGGGCACGAACTACGTCTCAGTATCTGCCCCGAGGCACCTAGCACAGCCAGCTGGCTGTAAAATCCCAGCAGTCACGAAATAACTGATCCAATCTACCACAGCAGCATATCTAACATGTTCAGATATATAAATAAATACATGCATATGATATATATGGAGAGAGTCTAGAGTTCTTATCTTGCCAACGTCTGTACCAGAGCAATTTATGGTGGCTCAAAACCGGCAAGATAACAAGAGTGGCACAATTGGAGGTAATACACTCTGTCGGAAATCGGTTCCCACATATTTATTGGCCAGATGAAGGTTGGCAAAATGGTGGGGGAAGTGGGAAAGGGGTAAGATAACAAGTCTAGATTATATAGGTACATAGATATGTTTTTCTGTTCAGTTATTGCTTCTGTGATTGGGCTAAAAATTCTGGATCCTCCCTTCATACAGCATATCACACATAATTGGTAATATTTGAACACAGATTTTATCTAACCATAAATTTAATAAGAATGACATTAATGTTTTCTAAATGAAAAAGCTTTCTATTTGTCATGTTTGCTTATTGTTTTAGGAGTGGGACCTTGGGATCTGGCCAATTCTGCTGTTTCTAACCTACCCCGAGCTTAAAAAGGAGATTTTAATTTTCCCTGCTTCCAGTAATATTAATAGATGAAATACAGTGGAGACAAAATGAGGGCCAGGGTCTTACCACCACATATGGTAGCAATGCTGCTTGAAGACTATAGATCCTCCACTCTTCTGTGGTGCATCTTTCTTGCAGGGGTACAACAGGCATCCTTCACCAAAAGCAGCGGGTGGCTACAGGATCGGTTTTGTTCCCGAGTCATCTTTGCAGCAGTTGCATGAACAGCAGTACAATCGCTCCGGAAAAGTAAGACATCGATCCTCTTTTCTTTGCTATCTACCAAGCAGATTTCTTTGCTTACTCCCAGTCTTCACCTTTTGTGGTGGCACTGGAGACATATTTCCATTTGAATGCAAATTTTTTTTCAACGGAGGCTACCTGTGGAGTTTCTGCTGTCCCTAGAAAACCTGATCAGCCTGAAGTCGTCCATGCAGAACACCTTGACTCCCCACGTTTTACACTGAATAATACCTCACTGACTTCATTAATGAAGTTTTATGCAACCAGCAGGTATAAACAGCTTTACTGGTAACATCAAATCTTTTTGCTTGGGCCCTGAGCGTACACACGTAGTTCTACATTACATGTCTCTGGCTTTCTCTAAGATTGCCCCTTACCATGATGCGCCGCTAAACTCTGACAGAGCCAGCCAATGCAATCAAATAAATTATTTTTGACAAGCAGGCGTCTCAGTTCAAACAGGTAGTATAATCCCAGCCTGTCTGCCAGGGGCTATTTACATTACATGGGCTCACTAAGTGAAAGCTGATATTTGCACACTGAGAAAAATGTCGGTGCAACAATTGGCTAACCAGTAGGTATCCTCTTGAAGAAGTTTTGGGCCCCTCACTACAAGAAGGACATTGAGGTGCTGGAGCGTGTCCAGAGAAGGGCAACGAAGCTGGTGAAGGGTCTAGAGAACAAGTCTGATGAGGAGCGGCTGAGGGAACTGGGGCTGTTTAGCCTGGAGAAGAGGAGGCTGAGGGGAGACCTCATCGCGCTCTACAACTACCTGAAAGGAGGTTGTAGGGAGGTGGGGTTGGTCTCTTCTCCCAAGTAACAAGCGATGGGACAAGAGGAAATGGCCTCAAGTTGTGCCAAGGGAGGTTTAGACTGAACATTAGGAAAAACTTCTTTATTGAAAGAGTGGTCAGGCCTTGGAACAGGCTGCCCAGGGAAGTGGTGGAGTCACCATCCCTGGAAGTATTTAAAAGACGTGTAGATGAGGTGCTTAGGGACATGGTTTAGTGGGCATGGTGGTGTTGGGTTGATGGTTGGACTTGATGATCTTAGAGGTCTTTTCCAACCTTAATGATTCTATGATTCTATGATTCTATGATTCTATGATCAGAGCTGGGAGACAGAGGGTGCCTTGCCCAGCCCATTTACACAGTGCGGCATACAGTGAGAACTGGTGTAGTTGATAAAGTCAAAACTAGACATTTGACAGGGAAAGGAAAACAAAAAACCCAAATTATTTCCACTGGGGAGAAAACTAGTCATAAATCTTCGAGAGATTGCCTATAATGGATTCACTAGGCTTAAGTGCCAGCATAGAAACTATATCAAAACACTCCCAGGTCATTTTTGGTTGAGTGGAAAATTGCAAGTGGAAACAACCTGACAGCTAGACAATAATGTGTAAATAATTTCTTGTTCTGGTTGCATAGCTTATTTCTGTCCCGTTCAAACATAAATCTTAGGTGTAGTCATGCCCTGGGAATATCACTTCAAAGCTCATTTGTACTACCTCTGCCCTTGTGATGGGTCATACACAATATTAGAGTAAAACTGTGGTGCTAAATGTACATGATACTAAATTGCCAATAGTTTTGTAGGTTCAAAGCAGATAAGACAAATTCAGAGAATAAAAAATTGTAAGGACTACTCAATACAAGGATAGCACATGTGGCTAAGAGGTCCCTGAGATGCAGTTTTCTGGAACCTGGAAGAGTGCCTCGGACCCAGCATAGCTTGTGTTGCAGTTTTCACCATGGAAAGAAATACCGCAATGAGTTGTCTGAGCCCCAAAGTAAAGTCTAATCAGCTGGAGAGCAGAAGAGTTACTAAAGTGAAGCAAGCTAGCAAGAAACCCTAGAAGCCCCACTGCGCCCCATTCAAGGTGTTAATAGATTGTGATATTTGATGATTTCGGCATCGCTACCATGAAAGCATCAGATGGTGTCACCCATTACTGATAGCCAAGGATGGTTTTCATTATACTGAACCTTCTTTTAGTATCTTTCATTGCCAAGATCCTTAGAAAACATTACCTGCATCCCAAGAGCAAGTCTAGGTATTACTAATAGTTAGTGTTATTGAATACCTCTTCCGTGATTTTGGCTCGATTACTCAGTATGTGGCTACAAGAAGAATTGCCATGAGGTGAACTAGGAAGCAAATATAAATTAGGTCTATCCTCAGTGAAAACAGACTAAGGTGCCTGGTAGTTACTACGCAGGACAAGGAACCGGCACAGCAGCAGTGACCACACTGTAACTCATGTGCTGAAAATTTACCCTGTGGGAACTCATCCTTGCTCTTCATCTTCCACTGCCCTGCTTCCTATTTAAAAAATGGGGATAACAAAGTCTCTGTCGTAGCCCAGCCTCCCTCACTGTTTAGCATCTAAAACTACTCAGGGCAGGGCCTGTCCTCTTGTATACAGAGACAGTTCACAATTAGTCTGTTTTTATTTGAAGCCTTCCAATCCTAATACAAATCAAACTGTACTACGAAACCCTGCAATGTCCCACTTGGTGATAAGTATCAGTACCCTTGGATTTTAACCAGGACATTCAAGACTAAGGAATTAAAGGACTAGCCTGCAACCACTCAACAAGTCAGAAGCAGGAACAGGTCACAGGTGTTTCTGACTTGTAGTCCTTCATGTAGCCGTGTACAACCTGCCCCTATTATATGAACACTTAAAGATGCGACTTTTTCAGAAATTTTGTGCAGCCTCTACATTGGCTAATGAGATCTAAAGTGAGAGATTAACCATCATTCTGAAAGCATTATGTTCTACTATGAGACCTCAGAGGCTCTTTCAGCTGAACTTTATGCTACTCACAATGTTACTGTTCTACCCTAATGGTGCACTGAACCTCAAAGTTTCCAGTAGTTACTGAAACAGAGAAAGAACTATTGACACAGTCAGTGGCAAACTGAAAGAGTTATCTAGCTACCACACCTCTTCTTACCCTTACAGACAGGACTGGGACTGTTGCTGTGAAATTACATATGAAAACAAGAGGATGTTAAAGATCGGCATACCTAATA